CGAGCTTATGTTGAGCCTGTTGCGTGCCTTTGCCCGCAATACCGCTCAGCGCCAAAAGCATCCAGTCAGACGAGGTCATGTTTTCGGAGTTGGCGGCCAAGATGTCAGGATCAATGTCGCCTAGCCATTTGGACAGGAGGATCCGGCTGGCCGAGCCGGCGGGGTGCCGACTCAGCTCATCGCGGACCAGATCATCCATCTCCCTCTGCCAGCCGAAGATGGTGCTAAGCATCTGGCGACGCAGGTCATCGTTCGTCAGACGACTGGATTCGGCAGCCACGTTTTTGTAAGGAATGTCGCTCAGGCGGCTGCGAGTATACTGGAAGAGGTCGTGAACCTTGGAGTCTTCTGGGCTCCGCAAAACTTCATGGCGCAGACGCGACGGCTTTCTGCGAGACCTAGTCGAAGACAGTGACGTGCCACTCAAGCTACTAGTCGAGTAAACGTCTCTTTCCCTTTCTCTGTAGACGGGAGCCTGTGAAGAGCGAAGAGACGAGGCACCAGACGAAATGTAAGTGTTCTCGGTCAGGGGTCGAGACAGTACTGAAGACGGGTATCTACCGGGTGTTGCAGAGCCCGCAGACGATCTTGAGAGAGACGAGAGTCCGCTGCGGCTTGAGACAGGACTGGCAGTGTCGTAGCGGTCGGCGGCATTGGAGGGGGCGGGCTCGGCTACGCTCTGGCGGACTATGCGGCCGAACGGCGAAAGGTGATCATCATCACTCTCTGAGACCCCCTCGATAGATGCCGACGTGGCATCCGAATCCGTGGCAATTGTGGTAGCGCTTCGAGCCGACTGGTCAGCCTGCTCCTCAATAGACACAGGTGGCGACGGTGGCAATAGGTTGGCCGGATGCTGGACATTGGCGACAATGATCGACGGGACGTTAAGGTCAAACTGCTGCACAGTGTTGTTTGCGCCGAGAGTAAAGAGACTTGCGCCAGGACCATAGACAGCAAGGCCCCGTACGATATCCAGGGTGGGGATCCTATCATAAGTGACGTGTTTTGTCCTGACATCCCATGAGGAAGTCTCCCTATAACGTGAAGAATGATTAGCGTCATGCACTTAGGCGCGCGGCTGTGGTCGCAGTGGCGATAAGGGATCTTACGAGTCCGAGTATTGGATGATGCGACCGTTCTTTGACCACGCCATCCAGTTGGGACCGGTGATTTGGTTTTCAGTTCGCCTCAATATCCTGACCACCTTGGCTGGGTCGTCACTATTGTACGACTTTGAGACGCTCCAGACCCGAAGATCACCGTCATGGGTCTGGACAGCCAGCATGTCCGACTTTTGCCGGGATGAAGAAGCGTGCCAGTTCAAGGTGACAATGGGCGAAGGCGCTCTCGAGGTGGTAAGATTGTGTAGAATTGTGAATCGTGGCTGGAGAGTAGCTATCAACAGCGAGCCGTTTTGGTAGCTGGAGTCAGATTAGCAGCGTGAGCTTGGAGGCGTCCGAGCCATCCAGGGCACTCACCCTATCGCAAATGTCCTGCAATCAGCCGCTGGAGCGAGAGAGGTGACAGCAATCTGATCTATAGTTCTCGCAGAGATGTGCTCTGATGTTGTGGGTTCGAATAGGATGATGTTGCCTTGGGTATTGCCTACGACAGTGTCAGTCGCAAGCTCTTCAGGAGCAGGAAGCGGGGATGGACGACGTACCGAATGCAACATTGCCGTTGCGCATCCAAGCAGCTGTGGTCAAGTGCTCATACGAGGCAAATCGAGCTACTTCGTCGCCGGTCATGAGGTCCCAGACAATAGCTGTCTGTCCGGCATCATAACTCACAACCAGTCGTCCAGCGCCCATTTCACTTTGGTTATCAACGGCGAGCAACTGAACTTCGTCTGAATGCCGAGAAAACCTCCTCTCAATCGTGAGGGTATCATGATGGGCGCATACGACTGAAGGAAT